AGATTTCTGTGGTTAACTAAACACTTTTCATTCAAATTAACGCTTAATGAAACACTTAAAAAGTACCCACCGGGCATTTTAATAAAATTGGCTATGCACTCATGCCAAGATTATTAACATTCATAGTGGTGCTGACAACTCTTCTGCCTTAACCCTCTAAACACAGTGCATTCCCTGTAACCCTTAAAGGCTAGAAACAAGTCACATGAAATAGAGTACCAATCAAAATACTAAGGCAATTTAAATGTTGATCTGAGAGTCTCTCTGATTGCTAAGTAATCTACTCCCTTTCCCTTTGCTCAGTTTACAACCAGTAGCATCCCTAGTAAATAATCAACTATTATGTCAATGTTTTAGTTAGGAGTTAAAGCTAATTCCTTTACTTACACTGATAACCCAAATAGCTATTCCTTATTTCACCTGTCTCAAAATTATCCTCACCTGTTTTGTTATTTACAGTCTCCCCCCAGTTTGCTGCTTTACCTCAAAAGGACTAGTAGAAACCAAGCATATATTAGGCACTAAATATATGTTGAACAAAAACTTAGGTGGCCAGCAATCCATCTAAAATGTATCACAACCCAGTTTGTCATTTTGACAAATTATTTTCAGAGTTTGTACAACACTTAGTTGGGGAGAATGAAAGGCTAAACCAGTCTATAGTCTCCCCACCTAACCCACTTTCTTCAGAAAGTACTTTTTTTTTTTTTTGAGAAGACCAAAGATCCAATTAAGCAGCATAGGTCTCTATTGCTGCTGTATATGAATATTATTACCCTAACTTCCCCATTCCTATTTCTTGATGCTTTAACTCAAGACAAGTATGTCATTTTTTGCTATAACTTGTATACCGAAGGGCTTAATCGGCTTTAATTCACTTTTACTTTAGAATCTACAAAAATGATAGAGTTTAGATAATTAAAGTCAGCAACATGTCAGGCAGAAACTAAAAATTGTTGCAACTATATTTTTGTATGTTTAGTAATAGCTATTATGATGGGTTGAGTTACCTGAACAGCTACTAAGATATTTAAAGTTCTATATCCATCTATTATTTAACTGTTTTTTACAATATACTAATACTTTGAAATGGGACAGATGCCAGTGTAGGAAGAGGCTGAATGCTCCAAACACAAGAAAATAGTGTAGACCAGCACTGTCCAACAGTAATATAGTCCATGCCATATATATAATTAAAATTTTTCTGGTAATCAAAGTAACATTGAAAGAAACAGGTGAAACTGACTTTAAGTCTCCTATTTAACCAAATATATCCAAAATGTTATTTTCCATATGTAATCAATCTTTAAAAAAGTTTTCTTCGAAATCCAATGTTTAATTTACAGTTACAGACATTTCACTTCAGAATGTTCACAGTATAAATGCACAACAGCCACACATGGCTAACTAATGTCTACTGTATTGGTCACAGCAAGTATAGGCTCAGGGCACTGGCATGCCCAATAAATAGTAAACAAAAGGCTCTTGGGCAGACACTCTCACAGATGAAAGGAGCAGTATCCAGCAAACCTGACCACAGGAGCTTAAACTTACATTTGAGAAGCAGAAATGAAAATAAGAAACTTGTTATCTTCTGGCTATAGCCTTTTGATACAGCAATGGACACCCTACATGGTAACTGAGAAGAAACTGCTAATCAGTTTATTTTCAACTACACAGTTTTACCTCAGCATTAAAGGACATAATATAAAAACACCCCAAAATAAAATTATCATTCAATACTTCTGAACAGAATGCTGCCTACAGAACATCATATTTGAGCTTAATAACCCTAATGAAAAATGTAGCACAATTCCTCAGGCATGGCAGGATTAACTGAAAAAAAGTTTTGCATGGTTTTTAACTACATCAAAGTGGAAACATTCCAATTTGTAGACAAAGGAATTTTTAAAATCCTGACTTGGCAAAAAAGAATTTAACATCGAGAAATGATGGAAAATAAGAAAACAAATCATTCCTACCAAAGCAATTTCACCCTGGAGACATTCGAGCCATTAAGTCTTTCAAAAGTATTAATTTTTGTGGCCGTAATTCTCTATTATGAAAAATCTAAGTTTTACAGCTCTCCATAAGATAGTTCGAGTCAAAGATCTCAAAGTAGGTTCCCTTTTGCTTCAAAACAAAACAGGGATGCCTGGGTGGCTCAGTGGTTTAGAGCCTGCCTTCGGCCCAGGGTGTGATCCCAGGGTCCTGGGATCAAGTCCCACATCAGGCTTCCTGCAGGGAGCCTGCTTCTCCCTCTGCCTGCGTCTCTGCCTCTCTCTCTCATGAAAAATAAATAAAATCTTTAATAAATAAAAATTAAAAAAAAAAAAAAAGCTAAGAAGACACATCAATTCTTTTGGTGTTTATTTAACAAAATCAAAATACTATATTTTGTAATACAGTCTTAAAATTCAGCTCCTTAAAAAGTCTGTCAAAACAGCATTTCGTTTCAACTACCTTGTCAAAAGTATGGTCCTTACAACAACATGAATGAACTTACTAAAAAAAAAAAGTTAAAATGGTAAATTTTATGTTATGTATATTTTACCACAATTTAAAATAAAGTAATTTTTAAAAAATGATGGGTGCCCCCACACAGTGTCTTTAGATGGGTGGAGGGGAAAGCAGGAATGGAATAAATAAAGCAGGACTACTATATGCCAGCTTTCATGTTCTCATTTTTGATTCGCAGGAATTTACTAGAACCACACTCTAAAGGTCATACTTGGGAAGTCAGAACTTATTTACAAAAAAAGAAAACCTATCTTCTGCGCCTGAAATACTTTACTTTTCAACTCAGCTGCTATAAATACTCATCTCAATGGTAAACATCCAGAGCAGCTGCAAAATCACTCAAACCACTACCATCTCTTTTATTTCAGGCCTAAGGCTAAAAGGAAACAAATAGAAACAAGGTTGAATATTTATCTAGATATTATGACTCAGGCATATGCCCATTCAGGCATATAAACCCTCTCCTTATCCACACCAAGAATATCTATTATTCACTAGCACCCAAAAAGCACCAAGCTATTATACTGCCCCTCAATGTAGTATTGAGAATGCTTATCTTCTAGAAACTCGAAAATTACTCAGCATTTTGATATAGAATAACTTATGAGCTATAGCTTAGTACCTATGTTTTACAGACCGGTGGCTCTGGCCAAGAGCTGCCAGTTCATATAGCATCCTTATAAAAAACTAAGTCTATCAAAGGAAATTTTTTTACAGTGCCTTTGGGCGTCCTCCCTCCATCTCCAGCCCTGTCTCCAAACTCTTTTAAAAAGGCCCACATTCTTTCACTCATTTGAGGTGCAAAATAATTTCATCCTACAATGTTCAGATTGTGTTTGCAGACTGAAGGCTGTTTTAGGGAGCGTTCCCTGCCTCACTTTTGAGTCAAGCAAGAAAGGAGCAGTCTGGGTGTTTCTAAAGGAAAATCTTAAAGCAAAAGAACCATGACTCTAAAATTTTATACTGATAAAATATCGGTTAAAAACCTCAAGTGTCTCCAACCGGGGCTCTAAAAAACTACACGGAATGACGAAGCCAAGTCGTTCATTGCTCAATGTAGGCCAGGCTCCTGCACCAAAGAACCAGAGACGGTGTTAAGGACGACTCCACTGAGCTCTAACAGCACGCCCTAATCCCAGGATAGAAGAGAGGGAGCCACGTGCCTAAGATTAGAGATTGGTTCCCTTTCTCAAGAAGCCGAAGGGGAAGCAAGGAGGGAAGGCTGGGTGCTGAGACTCAAGACAGACAGCTCCAGGTGAGCCTAAGTAAAGATGACACTTCGAGTGTGCTACTGTGCCAGACGTGGCCGGGGAAAAGTCTCTGAGCATTTAGATGGAGCAGGGTCTCGGTCCATACACGAAGGAGGGGCCAATACCGCACTGCGCTCTGATACTCGTAGTCAGATCCTCGAGCAGGTGACAAGACAGTAAACTATACGGTCCACAGTGAGAGTAGGCCCCTCACCCTCTGCCTCGGGCTCCTCCAGTCTCACACAAAGGACCGCGCCACCACCCCCTCGCCCCGCCCGCCGGGACTTGTAGTTCCCGTTTCCCCCGCCAAGCCGCATAGGAGGAAGTGGCTAGACTACAATTCCCAGCAGCCTCCGCGCCCGAGCCCCGCACCCCTGCCTCCATCTTGGCTGCGGTCGGAGCCTCCATTTTCGCTCCCTCCCCCCACTGTAGACACCACCACCACCACGCGCGGTTGCCTGGCCTAGGCTCTTCGTTTCTGCTCTGAGGCCTGACGTGAAGCTTAGACAGTTAAACGGGGGCCAGGTGGAAAAGCCCAGGGCAGAGACTCAGGGTGAAATCTTCTCTGCCCGGAGCTCTAGGAGTGCCCACCTTGACTCAGAAGTCTCTCCCGTTAGTCTTGGTCTTCTCATCTGTCCCTAGACTGGCTTCTTGCTACCCCCAACTGGACCCGGAGGTCGTACTCACCCCAACAGCTCAGCGCCCCCTCTCCAGCGCCGCCATAAGCAGCACGGCCCGGTACGTAGGAATAAATCTCGCTTCTCTCGCGAGAGTTGCGGGCTCCGAGCGCGTGCACGGGAAGCGGGGCGGGGTGTTGGGGGGGAGGTACTCCTAATACGCCTGCGCAGGAGGGTTGAGTGACGCCAACCAGTGCGCTGCGCCTAACCACAACCAAGATGGTGCCACTGTTAACCCTACGTTCCCTCCCCTGGGAGCTGCGGGAAGCGATTTCGGTGTTTACTGACTCCGCTGGGACGCCGGCGGCGGGGGGGCGGGTAACTTTGGGCGTCTCTGCTCTTTGCAAACCTGAATATGCCTAAAGCAGCGAGGCCAGGGTAAACTTTAAGGGCGAACAATTTGGAGGACTTATCAAGGAATGTCATATAAAGGATTTCGCTTTTCTCAGCGATAATCCGGAAGCCCCAGACCCAGATTCTCCTCACAGTGCAAGCTTTTTTTTTCTGTCTGCTATAATACACTGGAGTTTTCATTAGTATAGAGTAGGTTTTCAGTAAGGTAATTCGGAACTTTTACGCGAGACCTTTGTCTGCCAGAAACTATATTGGTTGCAACAGATGGACAAGAGTGAGCAAGGCGGCATAACCATTAGAAAACAAAACAAAAAACCCCACAACTCCTTCAACTGACCTTTGTAGTCACCAGAAGATATTCGTGCTGTATCCCGTAATCAAAGAGGCTGAATCAGTAACCAAAAGGTTGAAATCAGGGCAAATGGATGATTAATCCAACGAGGTAAGAGGAAGGAGGAAAATAGTTAATTGTGTCCACAGAAAAGTTCAATGAATTATCCCTTGTCAAACAATGGAGCAGTACCCTCTGGTGAGAGGAATGCTTTTCCCAGATTCTATGGCTCTCTCTCTTGACAGTATTGGGTAAACAATGACCGGTCATGCTCTTGAGAACTCTGCTACCCACTTTATTTTCGCTTTCAACACATTTATCCTGTATCTCTTATATGTCATCGTTGGGGTGTGTACAGTTCTCAAAATAAATGGATAAGTTTCTGTCCTCAAGGAACTTTCAGTCTAGCATCATTCAGTAATCGCAAAAACAAGTTTAAACGTGTACAGCAAAGTAAATGCAGTGTTGAGAGTACCCTCCAATTCTCAGCAAATTATCTTGAATTCTAAGAGGAGGCAGTATCCTATTTAGGATGTTGAAAGATTTTTTCTCTTACCTCTTGGTATTGGTCCAATTCCATTCCACCTCCAAGCTGCCTCTTTGTTCTCTTTAATGACTTCCCCTGTTTTCCTAGGCAAGATATTTCCTTCTTATTTGCTTTCAATCCTTTCCTAGCTCGCTGAATTGTAATTATTAGTTTATACTCGGTAGTGATAATTTTAGGACAGGGCCTGTGACATTCATCTTTGTGTCCTTGGTCCTGGTGGTGCTTGGCATAGACAACTCTCAAAAGTTTGTAGAATGAATAGCACTGAACAACAGTGCAGGAAGTTGTTAGAAATTGGAATGTTCTGTTGGGGGCAGTACAAATCGTTTGATATATCAAACCAGCTGTTTTGTTTCCTTTGTCCATTTCCTAAATTGAGATCTCTTCTTCTCAGCAATAGATCTAGTCTGGATATTCCAATCTAATGTTACAGAGAAACTGCCCAGGGCTCTTGCACTAGAAACAAGGTCATGTGAAGCTGGGCTAAAAGTAGAATTAGGTCTAAGAGTGCACATTCTCAAATATCACAGTAATGGGAAATGTAAAAAGATAATAGTCTCACTAAATTCTATCTATACAATTGCAATTAATTCAGAAGAATGGGTCTTGATTTCTACCGTTACACATAGTTTCTAAATACTTTCTTGAATCATATAATCATTTCATCCTCATCATTCTGATTTTGTCTCAATTGCTTTTAAATTACTCCCAGGGGACACCTGGGTGGCTCAGCAGTTGAGTGTCTGCCTTTAGCCCAGGGCGTGATCTCAGGGTCCCGGATCGAGCCCCAAATCCAGCTCCTTGTGGGGAGGCTGCTTCTCGCTCTGCCTCTGCCTCTTTCTCTCTCTCATGAATAAATAAAACTTAAAAAAAAATAAATTCCTCCTCAGTCCATAATTACTATCAGTTTACACTTAATACAAAATACAAATATGCATACATCCTGAGGCATACATTTTAGCTTTCAATGCATTCAAGAAAGCAAAATATGGAATTATTTGATTTAAATCACTAGTTTAAGTGATTTATTCTTTCTACAAGTACTACTCATAACTAGAAGTTGGTTTCATTTTTAGAAGATCACTACATTTTAAGCCAATAATTTTTTCAGATTAATTTTGAAGTCAAATTTAAAAGCTATAAAAATATACTTATGAAAAAATATACTTATGGTGTTATGTTTATTATTTTAAACAGAAGTTAAAGCAGAAACTGGTGAAGTCATTTGAGAAACCTTCTCCTATACCATGGGTAGTCTTGGATTTTGAGGAGATACTTAGTCTATTAAGGAATAACCTGAGGGGCTCCTGGGTGGCTCAGTCCGTTAAGTGTCTGCTTTTGGCTCAGGTCCTAGGATTGAGCCCTGTTTTGGGCTCCCTGCTCAGCAGGGAGTCAGCTTCTCTTTCTCTCTCTCTCTCCCTCTGGCCCTCCCCCTGCTTGTGCTTGCTTGCTTGCTCGCTCGCTCTCTGTCAAATAAAATCTTTTTTAAAAAAAGGAATAACCTGAAACAAAAAAATGCATACATTATTTTTTGGTATTTATCATACTAATTTTTCTTCTCTGAGAAACTTAAAGAGACAATGAAATTAATTGTGATTGTGGGGCTTTTTTTTCTCTCTACAATTATCAATAAGCACATATCTCTGGGATATATTTGAGATTGAAAGTAAGCATTTTTACACATTCGTAAGATTTTCTTGGGCAGTGATGGATGGCAACTGTATAGGATGAGATTTTTTTAAGTTCTCATTGAAATGTGAAAAATTAGGTCAATGTGGAGATTTTTTAAAAATAAGGCTAAATTTATTCAAAATTTTAAGGACTGTTTTTACTCTGACATTATGTTCCTCCTATTTAGGGGAAGTAAAGGGAACTTCTTTTGTAAAATTCTGGTAATAGTGGATGGTAAAGGGATCCACATTCAAGATTTCAGAACAGGAAAACATTTAGAGCAGAAACTTTCATAAAGAATAATCATTTCTTATTATTAAGAAATAATTAAGATTTAGTCCTAGAACCACGCATTCCAAAACTTTGTATTCATTAATAAGCTCCCAACAGTTAAGATGCATTGTGTAAATAAGAATGATATAATAGCAATATGTAATAAAAATATTAGAATTTAAATAAGAATAATGCAAAAACTATAATGCTTCCCTTTAAAGTGTCAACATTGCATGTAAGGCAAGAATTATGTGGACATGCTAAGCTGCTGCACTATAAAGGTAGTCACTTTAACACTTTAGCTCTGGGAATCAGCCATAGGGAAGGATAGAGCAAAATAATATTGTCAATTAAACTTAAATGAAATCCTAATGAAAACCAATTGCACTTAAGATAAAATCCAAAGTCTTTTACCATGGCCTACAAGGCCCTAAGTGACTTAGTTCCCACTAAATCTCTAACCCTAGTTCACCATGATTTAATTCCATTGCTATTTTGGTTCTTCCAACATTGTAAATTTGTCCCTACTCAGAAGTCTTACGTTTACTTTTGCCTCCATCTGGAATGCTCTTTCCCTAAAATCATCACCTTTTTTTTAAAATATAGATTTATTTTATTCATTTTAGAGAGTGCACCCTGGGTGGGTGAGTGGGGGGTGGGGGGACAGAGGAACAGAGATAGAATCCTGAAGCTGACTCCCTGCTGACTGTGGAGGCCAACCTGGGGCTCAATTCCAGGCCCCTGAAATCATGACCTGAGCAGAAGCCAAGAGCCAGCCAGGTGCCCTGCACGCACCCCCACCCCATCATCACTTTTTGGGACTTTCTCATCATTCAGTTTTTAGCTCAAATGTTACAGTCTCACAAAAGTCTTCTCTAAAGTAAAAGTAGCCATTATTGCCATCATTCTCTATAATATTATCTGGCTTTATTGTCTTCATAACATGTATTGCCATCCAAAATTAACACATTTATGGGTTTGTTAATTCCTCTTCTTCCTAAACAATAGCCCAAGCTTCAGTTCTCTGGTTCATCATCGCATCTCCTAAACCTAGGACAGGGACTAATATAACACTAAGTACTTAATAAATATTCATGAATTAATGAATTATACATTTCATTAAATCTAAAACAGTATAGATTGTACATCATTATTTGTGCACCAGCAAAAAGAAAATATGTTGCCATTTTCACTCTGACATAATACAACATAATACTGTTATTATTTAGAATTTTTGTATATGAATAGAGCTCTTTAAAACTTATTTAGATATAGTTTAGGTCTAATTAGATAAAAGTTTTAAAATGTTTTTATCATGTGTCACTCATGTGTATATAGTAAAAAGTAAAAAGTAAAAGTAAAAAAAAAAAAGTAAATTGGTGAAGGTATTCCTAAAACTTCTTCACAAAACTTAACTTTTCTGAATCTCTTTCTTTGTAGTAATAAATTTGACTATATTTTAATATAGTCATTGATCAACAGACAGCATTAAAAATTAAAAATCAACAAACTAGGAGAATTATGTTTGTAACATGTTTAAAACTGACAATGTAATAGTATCATGATTATATACTAAATCAATACATATGAATAAGAAAAAGTCAAGGAAAAGAAGTGAGAGAACAACTTGAATGTATACATTAAAAATAACAAACACAAACAACCGTGTAGCGGTGCCTAGGTGGCTCAGTCAGTTAAGCATCTGCCATCGGCTCATCTGCCTTTGGCTCAGCCCACCTAGGGCTCCCTCCTCAGTGTAGAACCTGCTTCTCCCTCTCCCTCTGCTACTCCCCTTGCTCGTGCTCTCTCTCAAATAATTTTTTTTAAGTTTTAAAAATTAGAAAAATAAAAATTTTATAGGCAAATAAACTTTTGAAATTATGCCTCAGTAACAAGGGAATGTGTATTTGTTGACATAATTTAATTTTAGACTTACAAAAGAATTAGAAAAATTGTATAGAAAGTTCTTATAAACCCTTCACCCAGTCCCCCCCCCTTTTTTTTTAAGATTTAGTTATTCTTGAGAGACACAGAGAGAGGCAGAGACATGGGCAGAGGGAGAAGCAGGCTCCCCATGGGGAGCCTGACGCAGAAGTCCATCCCAGGACCCTGGGATCACAATTTGAGCCAAAGGCAGATGCTCAGCCACTGAGCCACCCAGGTGTCCCTTCCCCTTATGTTACGCTTACCTAACCATAGAACAATATTTAAAACTAGGAAATTAACCTTGACACAATATTAACTAAATTACAAAATTAATTCAGGTTTCCCCCTAATATCCATTTTATTTTCCAGAATCAAATCTGGGTCCCACCATGGATTGGTCCACCGTTGTTAGGTCTCCTTACTCTCCTCCATTTTGTGGCTGTTCCTTATCTTTCATGACCTGGACACTCTGGAACAACACTGGTCAGTTATTTTGTAAACATCCCTGAACTTGTTTTTATCTGATGTTTCTTTTGCTTAGTTTGAGGTTATGCATTATTTTGAAGAATGTTACAGTGGTGATGTACCCTTCTCACTGCAAAATACCAGGGTGCATAAGATGTTGAAATGTATTAGTGATGTTTACCTTAATCAATTGGTTAAAGTGCAGTCAGCCAGGATTATTCATAGTAAAATTGTTATTTTTCCTTTACAGTTACTGATGTTTGGAGGGAGATACTTTGGGACTATACTTAGTTGAATTGTCCTCTCAAAATTCATGTTTACTCAGAAGCTTAGAATGTGGCCTTGTTTGGAAATAGGGTCTTTGCAGATGTAATCAAATTAAGATGAAGTCATAACTGGATTATGGTAAACACTAATCCAATGACTGATTTTCTTAGAAGAGGGGAATTTGGACACATACAGGGAGAATATCACGTGAAGACTGAGGCAGAAATTGCAGTAATAGATCTAGAAGCCAATGAATGCCAAGAATTGCCAGAAGCTAGAAAAGAGAATGGAACGCATTCTCCCTTCAAGCCTCCAGAAGGAATCAACCTTGTCAACACCTTAATTTCAGACTTCTAGCCACCAGAACTGTGAGAGAATAAAGGTCTGTTGTTTTAAGCTATCTGGTTTGTAGTAATTTGTTACGCTATCTCTAGGAAACTAACAGAGACTAGGCAAATCTTTTTCTGCTTGAACTTTAGTTTTAGCCTACATTAATAGATCTTGCTGAATCTCTTTTTGACTCATCGCTGTGCAGGTTTTTCCTCACAGAATTATTCTTGGGCCACCAAGAATACTGGTAATGCAGGATTTCCTAAGAGTGCTTCACTGTTTTATCCAGGATTTTATGCCTGCTAAGAGCCATGTGGCTGGCAAAATTATAAGATGGCTACCAAGAATCCCACCAGCTGGTGTACATGCTGTGTATAATCCCCTGTTCTTGAGCATAGGCTGGACCTGTGGGTATTAGAGGTTACCTCATACCTTCTTTATGGTAAAGAGATTACTGCAGTTCTAATTAAGATCTCAAATCAGTTGGATTAATCAAGAGGGAGATTCTTCTGGTTAGGCCTAACCTAAGCAGGTGAGCTTTTATTTATTTTTAAGATTTTATTTATCTTTAGAGAAAGAGGAGGGGAAAGAGAAAGGGTTTGAGTGAAGGGAGGGGGGGAGAGAATCTCAAGCAGACTCCCTGCTGAGTGTGGAGCCTGATTCAGGATTCGATCTCAGGACCCTGAGGTCACTACCTGAGCTGAAACCAAAGTTGGTCACTTAACATTGAGCCACCCAGGTGCCCCTCAGGTGAGCTTTTAAAAGGGAGCCTAGAGGTGGGAGACAAGGGAGGTCAGAGAGATGATCTCCTGTTGGCCCTGAAGTCCTAGGAGTTTTACACCTGCACAGAAATGAATTTTACCAACCATGTGAACTTGAGAGAGGGCCCAGAGCCCCAGAGGAGATGCTAACCTATGTTGACACCTTGATTTCAGCCTTGTGAGATCATTAGGTGGGAACCTAGTTAAACTCTGCATTGACTTCTGACCTACAGAACTGTAAGAGAATATATGGGCATTGCTTTGAAGTGTTAAATGCGTGGTAATGTTACATAGCAGTAGAGAATGAATATAGCCATACTCCCAAGTGCTTATACTGACACTCTTTTGATCTTACAAGAAGGTTCACATGAATGGAAAGTTCAGACAACAGCTAAACCTCAATTCCCTTCTCAAATAGTGCTTAAGTTTCTTGACCAAAACACCAAGAGCTTACCTTTGTCCAGTCATGCCATCAGGAACATAGCCAATTTTTTCATATGCTTAGAATCAACCACACCACAAACCTGTACATGTGTAAGACTTATCTTATGTGTAAGATATGTTAAAATATGAAATAAATGAATCAGGATATCATGCAGAAGTCCACTTCCATCCATTCCTCATGTATTTTTAGGAGGCTAGATGAAATGTTGAATGAATTGTAGTTCATTTAGAAGCTCTGAAGGTTCTGCCTCTTTAGTTGAGCGATAAAAGAAAAAGCATTATCTGCTTTCCATTGTATTAGCAGATAATAGTCCTTAATTCCTTCTGAAAGTGCTGAGACAACTGCAAATGAAATAACTGAAAAAGGGATCCCTGGGTGGCGCAGCGGTTTGGCGCCTGCCTTTGGCCCAGGGTGCGATCCTGGAGACCCGGGATCGAATCCCACATCGGGCTTCCGGTGCATGGAGCCTGCTTCTCCCTCTGCCTGTGTCTCTGCCTCTCTCTCTCTCTGTGACTATCATAAATAAATAAAAATTTAAAAAAAAATAAATAACTGAAAAATGTGCAATATGACTGCTTATTGTGAAATATATCTAATCTAAATGAGTTAGATGGAGAATTAAAAATTAAGTCTGATATCAGCAAGGGTTTTAAAAATGCATTAATTGTACTTTATCATAATCTATTATATAGTCACAATTAAATATTATGGATCAGTGGAAATAAATAATAGCTATGTATAACAAAAGGATCTTAGAAACATAATGTTGAGTGAAAAAAAATCATATCCCTATAGACTGTAAAATATGATACCATTTTTATACAGCTCAAAAAGGAACAAATCTAGAACATGTCACTTTAGGGATTCATACATATTTTAGGTCTTTTTTGCATGTGGTAAACTATCAAAAAGGGAGAAGGGAGGTGGGGAAAGACAGGAGAGGAGCTCAAATTGATAAATACAAAGTACAGGTAATGTTCTAATTCTTAAGTGAGGTGACAAATGATTGTTAGATAATCTATTTGTATGTTACACATCCTTTTATAAGTGTTAAATATTAAAATATAACACTATGTATAAAGTGTTGGCAAAATCTGTATTTGCATGGTTGCTTTTGGTTTTGCTTTTAAATAGGCTCCATGCCCAGCATGAAGCCCAACATGGGGCTTGAACTCACAACTCTAAGATCAAGACCTGAGATCCAGAGTTGGGCACTTAACTGACTGAGCTACAGCACATGCTGCATGGTTGTTTTCAAAACTATACTTATTTTACCAGTCAGTGTTATTAATTATAGGCAATTCAGGTTAACTTTAACAAAAAAGTGATTTTTTAAAAAGGCTAATCAGCATCCTCAGGATGTCTAGGACAGCCAGAAAAACCAGAATTAGAGGCTACAGAGCCTCTAATCACTTTAGATAATTGCTTCAGTGAAGATCCCACTGTGTGGCAGAGACACTGCAGCTTATACCAGCAACCCTGCTGACACTGGATACTGAGTGTCACTAAAGCCACTTTTGCTGCTTCTTTGTGGAACTGCATAGAGTAGCCAGTGTTGTAGGCCTTTACGCAGAGAATACTGCATAGTTTCTTGCTTCTTTGCCTAAATTTTAAAGTTGAAGGTGGTTCCAAGTTCCTTAGCTGAAAAGAGGCTGGGAAAACGTATCTGACACTTTCAAATTTCTTGGAGGAGGGAGGCAAGCTCTGCTTCATTAGGTGAGGGATTCCCTAAACAGGATAGGAACAAGGATATTGCGCTTGGCTACCCAACACCTTCAGCTAATGCCTTCACTTGTTAAAACTTTTCAACATAAAAGGACTTGTCAGACATTGTTAATTGCTTTCTCAATACTCTTTCCTCCTTGCTAACGGAATACTGATTTTATTTGAGGCAACTATGTACCCAGCTTTTGCAGATAGAAGTACGCATTTAAAGAGGCAAGCAAGACAGGGAAATATGTCTGGAATTTCTGGGAAAGCTTTGCTTTTCTTCGTAAAAGAGGGTACACGCAGTTGGCACAGGACATTTCCCTTTTTCTTCCTGCCTTCAATATGGCCAAGACATCTGGTACAGCACCAACCTTCTTGTAACCACAAGAAAAGAACATGAAGGATGAGAAACGGCAGATTTGAAAGACAGAACTGCATTCTTCTGTACATAGGTAAGACCACTGATTAAATATTGTCCATGTTAGTTACATGCTCTCAGCTACACCATTCTAGAAAAGAGATGACAAATACGTCTCATTAGTTAAGACTCCATTTATTGAATTCATATTTTCTAATAAATGGGCTGTGGTGTTTCTTTTGCACTATTAGTAAAAATAGATTTTGCTAATCAAGAACCACTTGAACTCTGACCAGTATTTGGCATTTAAAGGCATCTTAATGTAGTGGTTAAGAGTACGTTTAAGAGTCTCTCTGGATTGGAGTCTTAGTTCCAGTTTAGACATACAGCATAACCTCCTTGTGCTGAAGAATGCATAAAATGAGGTACAGTTGAAATGGAGATTATATGGTAAATGGAAAGCACCAATCTTTCTCCTCCATATAGCCCCTCCTCTGTATCGTATTCATCCTCATTTTGGATGTATCACTGCACTGTAATTATATGTATACTTATCTCCTCTACCAAATTTTTCTTCAAAAAGTATCAAGGCCTTTCCCCCACCTTTTTTCTATTCATAACTACAAATGAAGTGCCTGGTACATAGATTAGACGAATTCTCAAGCTAGTACCTTAGACGTTATCTGGGATGATTATTAAAATACAAATTCCTGGATCCCACTCCCAAATTTCTATTTTAGTAGTCTGCAAGTCATTTTGGGGAACACTGAAGTAGTCCTCCAACATCTGAATCAAATTGTACATAATGTATTAATAGAAGTCAAGGTAAAAGGTAAGGTATTAAGGTAAAAATCGATAATAAAACATTTTTCAAGGTACTCACAAATTCAGTCTTAATTTTACAATTTGATTTGTAATTGTATAATTTTGGATTTCTAATCATGAGACTACCATTTTAGAAACAACTATTTCTGGTTATGCTGCTGACATTATGCTAATTACAAGATACTTATGAAAAGCCCTGTCTACCTGACAGGTTGATATGTATATGAAAAATAAACCTTTGAATTTCCTAATAATTAAGACTCATTACTGAGTAAAATTAACTGTTATTCTCAAAGTGAGGTTTTTTATTAGAAATGATGTATTTGTATTAACACTAGCCAGAATTTACATTATGTAGGGCAATGAGAGCTCTTTAAACTCAAACTCCAAGCTTTTGATTTGCCAAGGGGAAAAGTTAACATATAGGTTTATCCTCATATCCAAGACATAAACAACTTTATGCACTTTAAAGGAACAGAAGGTAGATAAGGAGACACCATGTCATACTTTAATGGGCCATTTGATGACTTTATCATTTTTACTGAAAACTGGCTATGGCAGCTGACATATTGTACAAGGGTACCTGCGTTCTAAGTGGAACCGTGGGACACACAGAGGCACTTAGGGCATATACTTCAAGCTAAATAGCTGGACTAAAGTTTTACTTACTCTTGGGAAACAAGATAAAAATGCCTGCACTGGGGGTGGAAGTGTTTTTCAAATTCTATGCAGGACTTTGAATAGAAATTCGAGTTTCCAAAATGACATATACGTAATCACTAAAGACCACCATTAAAGAACTTTAGCAAAGTTCTTTCAGTATTACTAGGGTCAGATGTTTTTAGGATATCTTAGTGAGGTTCTATTGTTTTAACTGGAGTTATTTCTTTATGGCAGTATTAAAGAAATTTTACATCACGCAAAGCATTAACAAAAAACTTTTTTTAATATTGTGTCTCTCCCATGCAGTATGGTGCTTAGTGCTACTGGAAAATATGGATAGGTTTAAGATTCATCATTTCAGTTATTTTTGGGCAAACCCAAACTGATTAATTACATGGAGTAATTTGTAAATTTGTCACGTGTGACTAAACTGAGATGGGCAAATGGGTTGATAAATGAGCCTAGTTGACCACTCAGCATTTGAATCTCAACATTGCTTTGTTGTCTACACAACACAATGAATGTAATAACTCTCATTAGGTGATAAACCTTTGCTGCCTCGTGAAAAATGGATCTAAAAATAAAGCCAACTATCCATACTAATAATGAAAGACATCTAAATAAGTGATGGTCCTTAACTATAAGACAGAAGTTACTATGATGTGAATAAACCCATTGTATGTTCTTCCACTGAATAAACCACCCAAGTTGAAGATTTCCTAGGACAATATTGAAAAGTTGACTACTAATATCTAATAGAATAAATAACAGCTACTTTCAGCAGTTGAACTAAGGGTACAAATGTATGTGCACACACATAGGACAAACTTCTCAGGATTCTTTGAACAATATGCTGACTCTACTATCACTAGAAGAAAAGGGTGATCTATTTTCAAGGATGTTTCTTGGGCACTAGCAGTAAGTTCTCTCAAATTAAGAGTAAAGACACCACATCATAAAGTGCCAACTCTTAGCACCAGAGAGACCTAAAACTTCATAGTAGGTGAATGACATTACAAATCAGAGAATCTGCCAATCTAGTTCTGTGGAATTGTATTCCTTTTCTCAAATGAGAAAAAAAAAATCTAGGCTATGCCAAATAGATTTAAAAAGCTAATATCTTTAAAAAAATTTTTAGACTTGTTTTTTTTTTTTTTTTAGACTTGTAACTTATAATCCTATATAAATAAAAATTGCTGGCTTATAATAAAGGATCTAAGTTTGAGAGATGTGAAGAAACAAAAAGGATCTGATACCACAGTTTATATAAATTGAGGTCCCAGAACTGAAAATTAAAAATAGTCTCTTAGAGAAAGGAATGGTGAAACTCAGTATTTTCACAAACACACCCAAAAACTGTTTTGTGGACAGCCAATTTGACTGCAAATTCTAAACTGCCAACTGATACCTTTAATCCACACTAAATCAAGTCTGAGGCAAGACACTAAGTGGACAATACTCGAACAGAAAGATAATAACTTCCTTCCTTGATAAACAATCTCCAGCTGTCCTTTGTAAGTTGAGTTATTTGATGGCTTGGGAAGCAGTGTCCATTGAGTTTTCCTTCCTGACCTGTAGAGATTCACTGCTGATGGACAATAATTCTCGAAGTTCCTTATTTTCAAGCTGGAAAAAAAAAAAAAGGTCCATTTATTTTAGGTATTTTGACCATTAAACTGCATCAGAATAATTGTTTTGGGCCAGGAACAGAAGGCGTGTTATTTTAATTTTAAATATTTTACGGAAACAAAATAAGAATTTCCTAAAACACTAATTGTTAATCATTTAACATACATTATTAAGTAATTTCTATATGCCATGTGTTAGGACAAGGAAAAATACGAAGCCTCTCTCCACCTGAGGAATTCACTACTTGTCATACGTTTTGTGATTCCCGCAAGTTGTACTATTTCTTCTACCTTTTAAATTCCTAATAATATTTTCACTTTGCTCAGTCTTCTCTCCTGGATGTCCTTCAGTTTTGGAGAAAGGAAGAAAAGGGGAAAAAAACTACTCACTAGGGACATAGCTAGGTACCACTGGGTGTCTTACATTTGTCATTTCAAAACAACCTGTAGGGCAGGTATCACTGCCCACATCCGTGTTCTTTTTAAGATGAAGACACTGTGGCTCACAAAAGTCCAAAGACTTGTCCAAACTCAGGCAACTTGGATGTGGTATTGCTGGGGTTTCAATCTGATGCCTGTGTTCTTTCCACTTAAAATATACATATATTTTAAAGATTTTATTTATTTATTCATGATAGAGAACGAGAGAGGCAGAGACATAGGCAGAGGGAGAAGCAGGCTCTCTGCAGGGAGCCCGATGCAGGACTCGATCCCAGGACCCTAGGATCATGACCTGAGCCAAAGGCAGACACTCAACCACTGAGCCACCCAGGCATCCCTCCACTTAAAATATTAAGGAAAATTTGTCCCACATTTCCTAAGGGCTTGTTTTCTTATCTGAGTAAATCAGGGAGAGTGTAGATAAGGTCATTTATCATTTTAACTAACTCCTACTTGGGACCTTGTCACTCCCTTTGATTTCCAGGTAGGGCAGCTTGCATTCTCCATCCTTATTCTCTCTGCAGGAAATTCTGGTAAAACCACAGCATCTTTAGGCTTCACCTATAGTTTGGGCCCATAGTCATTAAACTGTCTACCATATAAATCACTTCTCTTAGTACTTTGCATCTCTCCTGGTATGTATAAACCATTTCATATCATGTAAGTATTAGACTTACTCCTTTCACTAGACTCTGAGCAGGGATATTCTTTTTCTCTGTGGTATTTCTCAAAGGGCCCAAGTTAGCATCTCATAATAAGCGACATTCAAACCATCTATTGTTTTGTGTTTCCTTAATAATTTTGGGGCATAATAATACCACCAGGCCTTTTTTGGGTAAATTTTTGCTGCTATAATCAAAATATTACACGAAATCACTTAAAAAAAATAAAGACTATAAGGTTTATAAAATAAACGGCAGGCCCTTGGTTTTGTTCCCCAAAGGCAACCACTTTTAATACTTTTACTTATTTCTTTTTTTTTTTTAAGATTTTATTTATTCATGAGAGACAGAGAGAGAGAGAGAGAGAGAGAGAGAGAGAGAAAGAGAGGCAGAGACACAGGCAAAGGGAGAAGCAGGCTCCATGTGGGGAGCCTGACGTGGGACTTGATCCCAGGTCTCCGGGATCAGGCCCTGGGCTAAAGGCAGCGCTAAACCGCTGAGCCAGCCGGGCTGCCCACTTTTACCTATTTATTTTGGTACTTACTTACATAATTAATAGAGGAATAATAATTATTAAAATGCCTATACTACTATTTCTTATCAATTTCTTACATTACCTATTTGATTTCCTTTTATGACAGAGGGATTTTAACTCACATGTAATTTGTCTCTTCTACTCTTTCTACCCTCTTGATATGACAATATCTCAATTTCTAGCCAATACATAGTTGAAATTTTCATTGTTTGTTGCTGATTACATTTACTTTCCTGAAAAGGGTATGGAGGAGTTGGTTTTTCTTTAAGACTTATTTTTTAGACATAGAATGAGAAGGAGGGAGTGACTGAGTATGAGAGTAAGGGAAGGGGCAGAGGAAGAGTGAGAGAATCTTAAGGAGAAAGAGGCTGAGTGTGGAGCCCAACCTGGGGCTCAGTCTCACAACCCTGAGATCATGACAAGCCGAAATCAAGAGCTGGACAATCAACCAACTGAGCCACCCAGATGCCCCTGGAGGGGGAGTTTTAATTTTAAATCATGAATACACAGAAAACATCAATATACTGCCTAGGATAGTGATGGCATACCTTCCAGACTCTGAGAAAACTCCCTGAGTATTGTGAGCAACAATCTTACCTCTAATTGGGCTAGTTTTTCCTGAATCTTACAAAATTGGTCATCATCCACCTGAACTGCTTTCCTCATCACTTCTCCCATTTCACAGATTCTGTCAATCTGACTCTCAATTTCCTGTGAAGATATTAAGAAAAGAGAAAAAGGTGAAAAAGTTATCTTTTTGGCAGATATGAAGTTCATGAGAACATGTGCATGATAATGTTAGAAAGTTCATTTAATCTATGCTACAGAAATTACACAGGCATTTCACTGTAATCTGAGTCCTTAGAGGCAAAGCTATAATAAAGTTATCTTGTAGTATTTACAATTTGTTTTCAAGATTGATTCTAGTCTAACCACCCAATGGACAATGGGCAATATCTCTATGTGGCTGTTTAACTTAAATTGGATACTTTTATTGTCAGGAAGCTTACCACAGCTTACCAAAGGTTCCAAGGTACTTTATTCTTTTTTTGGATATATCTCTTCCCAAGTTTTTCACATGAGCTAAACTGTCTCTTTTAATCTTAAAGTTTTTTCCTCCAGATTACAGAAAAATAGTTTTTCTCTTCCAGATGGGAAATGTTTGAGAGCTGTTCACATATTCAAAGTATTCCTGTTCCCTAAGACTTTTGTTAAGTCAGCAAAATGCTTTCAAATGATTCTAAGATGAAGTTTATGTTTCATAAATTCCATGGAACAAATAGTGAGGTGCCAATTCATTAATCCAGGTTTAAATGATATAGTACATGTAAATGTACAATGCCACCCATGAAGCACTCTAGAAACATAAGCACAATAACTGGGTCTCCCAAATTAAAGCATAAGCAATCAAAGTGTAGAAACTATGCCATGTATTTTTTTTTTAAAACCGTACTTCTAACATATGATGCTATGTAGTTCAGTTTAATAAAGGTTTCTGTCTGCTACATGCCAGGTACTGAGTTAGGTATAAAAGAAGAATCCATGTTCCCTATAATCAAGGAGCTTATAGTTTAGTGAAAGTACAATAATAACCAACCAAGTATTTACTGAGTACCTTCAGCACTACCTTGCATTATGTTTGGTGGAAAAACTAGGCATCCATTAATCTTGCAAAGACATCTTGGGGCAGGTGGGGTGAGGAACCTACCTTAGTCCCACTCAAAGAAAACAAAAGCTCCTGAGCAGCCTCTTACCCCCTGCTTTCTAATCATATCCTTACAAGATACAGCAAAATCAACAGCAAATGTGAGAAATATGAAAGACAAGCTTAGTTTTCTTCAAAAACAAGTGAACAATTTAAAATAATTAGATTTCAATCTCATTCATTCAGAATTTATTCACTAAAGTTTCTTACTGCAGAGTGAGACTGGTGAGCTTTCAGGACAGGCTCAGCATCCACAGCCTTTTTGGCAACCATTAATTGTAACATCTGTTTCCGGTACTTGCTCATGATGAGTTCCAAAGCATCCTGGTGTTCCTCCAAGGAAACCCATAGCTCTACCAAAAAAAAATAAAAACACTTGGCAGTGATGTCTGAGAGATAGCTCCCAAAGCCAAAACTCTCTTAACAGAATTTTATGACACGCCATGAAATATCATGAATGCAAAATTATAAATCAGTGTTTAAGTCCACAAAACTCAACAGTTAGGTCTATGTGAAAAATAACTTTCTAGGCAGAGGCAGCTTCATCTGGTATAAACAACATGAGATGGAGAATCAGGAGACAAGGGTTTCAGTTCAGTTCTGAGTTACTAGCTTACTACTACTATTATGCAAATTATTACCCTCTCTGAGCCTATTTCTTAACTGCACTGTAATATTAAGTACCAGCTTATCTACCTCAAAATGAAGATATGATAATACAATGGGATAATATAAATGAAAGCGCACTGTAAACTACTATACAAGCGCACTGTAAACTACTATACAAATAACTTCATACTGCTATTATTAATAATGTACACATCAAGCCTGAGAATATATACCCCGAGGCTAAAATTCAGTTCTTCCACCCTGCACAAGAACATTAAAAAAAAAAAAAAAACCCTCTTCAATCTTAGCGTCAGTGCTTATTTCAATCAATTAATATTTAAACATAAAAAATTCCAAGCCCTTGAGGATATTAACACCTTGTTATGAAAGTATCCATATGGGGATAAAAAAGTAAACCATGCAACAATTCAACTCCATTAAGCTCCCCTTTGATAAGCTTGCCTATATATGCAAAATCAGTGAGATGACCTTAAAAAGGGTAAAGTAACAAACTTTATCGTTCCTGGGCCATCGCAGGATAACGCTTTTAAAAGTACTGATCTGGAGATACATATAGGATGTGAATAGTTCGTTTGGCAAGAACTTTTGAAATATAACTGGATGTTAGAAAATCATAACTACACAGAAAGGCCTGACTAACCTCTGTTTTCCTGCTGCAAGTCTCTAATCTGTGTATTCTCTTGGGACAGCAGAATGTGAGGTTTGAATTTGGACATGTCCTTTATATCGGAAGCATCTTCTTGATACTGGACAAACAGAGACAGACTAAGCGCGCCGTTAACAGGAGAACAGCCGCGGATGCAACTGAAGAAGGAGTCGGAGCTCCAGGGCAGCACGCTCAGCCCCGACCCCGAAGAAAAGTCTCACCGCCACCCTCTGAAACCAGGCATACGTTTAAGGCCGAGTTCCCGCTTTCCTTTGCCCTCCACCCCTCGGGTGCACAGATCCTGCGGGCACCGACCCCTACTCTCTGCCCGACCTGGTCCGGAAGCGCCGTCCCCGCCTCCCGCATAGCGGCCACCCGCCGGTGCAGCGCGGCGGACTGATCCACGAGCGACTCTGCGGCCGCGTCGTGTTCCCGTAGCCGCTCGAGCAGCGTCTTGGCGTCTGTCAGGATCTTCTCGATGGTGCAGCTCATAGTGGCCCCGGATCGTTGCTCCCGTCCTGCTCACCTACACTACTCTTTCCTGAACCTGGCTCAGCGCTACCGACGTCACTTCCGGCCGCCCTACGCGCCTGCGCAGTGGGGCCTAGTCCGCGGGTGGCCCTACTTGAACCAGCGGCTTCCGGCAGCCTGGCCGGCCCCGCCCTCGGCTTCCGGCTCCCACGGTGATCGAGGGGGCGTGTGGCTGGGCGACCCGGGTTTCTTCCTTCCCTGTGGGTTTTGATTGATGGGGATTGTTTTTCAGTCACCGGATTTTAAAATCTTTTTTTGGTGCTTAGTCTCTTTTTAAAATCAATTTTAAAAACTGCGGTAAAATACAATGAAATGCATCATCTTAACCATTTTGACCCGTACACTCCGGTAGTGTTAAGTGCTTTCTCTGTTACGCAATCGTCCCCACATCCATTTCCAGAACTCTCTTCACCTTGCCAAATGGAAACTCTTAACCCGTTAAATATTAACTACTTATTCCTCCCAGCCACTGGCAGCCACTCTTCTGCTTTCTGCCTTTAGGAATTTCTCTATTTCAGATACCTTATATACAGTGAGTGGTGCCACTGTCAATCATGTTTGTTGTTTTGTGACTAGCTTATTTCACAGAACGTGTCCTCAAGTTCTGTCCGTGCACATCAGAATTTCCTTCCTGTTTAAGACTGAATTATATCCCATTGTATGTCTATGGTATGTTTTGTTTATCTATTCCTCCACTGAAGGAATCCCAGCTTTCAGTTCTTTCAGCAATGTACCCAAAAGTGGAATTGCTGGGTCATATGGTAAATCTACCTTGGATTTTTTGAGAAAAGATCATACTGTTTTCCACAGTGGCTGCACCATTTTACATTTTTTAGCAGCAGTGCACAAGGGTTCTAATTTCTCCAAGTCCTTGCCCACACCTGGTGTTTTCTGTTGTTAATGATGATCATCTTAATAGGTGTGAGATACTCATTATTTTCTACTTGCCTATTTTTTCTCTCTTAATTCAATTAATAACTTAAAAGTAAATTAACCAGGGGGCACCTGGGTGGCTCAGTGTTTGAGCGTCTGCCTTTGACTCAGGGCGTGATCCCAGGGTCCTGAAATGGAGTCCCACATTGGGCTCCCTGCAAGGAACCTGCCCCTCTGCCCGCGTCTCTGCCTCTGTGTCTCTCATGAATAAATAAATAAAATATTAAAAAAATAAATTAACCAAAAAGGCAATGACCTTTGTACTATTTGTTATATTGGTTTATAAGAGTTTACTTTGTCAAGCTTGTATATCAAACTTCATCCTTTTTCATTCTTACTTTAATAAATAGTTTTGGAGGGTCTGCTTTGTTACAGGCACTGTTTAGTGTCTAGAACATGGCAGACAATGACACAGGGTATCTGCACTTAGGGAGTTAATATTCTAATGGGAGAAAGAGTTCATACTCATAAATAATTGAAGGTAATGACAGGATTAGGAGGCAAGAGCCTCAGAGCAGTAGTGAGAGTTTAGAGAAGCAGCAGGAAAAGAACAGTGCATTTTACTTTTGTATTCCCAATAGCTGGCACAATGGAGACATTCAATAACTGTTTCTCAAGATGGAGATCAGGAACAAGTTCAACAAAAATAACAAATCAGGACTACAGACCAACAGGGAAAAGATTAACAAAGAACCACAGATATAAAGAGGTTTCATTCAATCATTAAAACAAAACACTTTCCCTAAGTGATCTCTTTCCCTTACTTGTCTTTGACTTCCATTCAGGGATGATGGTTCTCAAATCCATCTCTGTGGCCCCAACCTCTTTTATGAGCCTAGAATATATATTTTTGGTTGCTTATAGGGTATTTGTAGAAGGACAAAAAGGTCAAAACCTGATCTCATTATTGTTGTTTATAAACCTGCTCCTCCATCTGTTTCAGTAAAGAGCACATTCATACCCATTTGCCCAAAACAGAATCCTGAAAGTTGTCCTTTATTCTTTCTAGTTATTCTTCACACTTAATTAGTTATCAAAGCAATATATGTCCTTTATGTCTTTAGGACATATTTCCTTCTTTGTATTCTCACTGCTTCTGGGTAGGTTGGGCCATCATCATTTCTCATCTAAATGAAGCAATAACAGTCTCCCAACTGGTCTCCCTACCTCAAATCACCTTCTCCTCTAATAGCTCTCCCACAAGGACACCACAAGTGCTGCTGCCCTTTCAGTGGTGATAATTATTCTTCTCTGCCCTCATAAGGGCTGAGAACTACATTGGTCATTCTAATTCCCCAATGACACTGCCAGGCTCATACCCACTACTCTGTAAAACCTCTACTTTATTTGAAGTTTGTATCTTCCAGCTGAAGAATCTTCTATTCCTCCTTATTGCAATCAGTTACTGACCTTCTGCTTAGGTACTCTCCTTTATTCATAGATTTGAGGAATTGGCTTGCAGTCTTTTTAATTCTTCATGCTTTGTGTGACATTCACGTCCATGTGGATAATTTATCTAATAGTCTTCCTTGGCCTCCTCATTTCTAGAGACATTGAACTTATTTTGGCTGTTCATGGTCATACCCCTCGTTTTTTTTTAAATAAAAGATTTTATTTATTTATTTATGAGAGACACACAGAGAGAGGCAGAGACACAGGCAGAGGGAGAAGCAGGCTCCCTGCAGGGAGCCCTATGTGGGACTGGATCCCAGGACCCCAGGATCACAACCTGAGCCAAAGGAAGACACTCAACCACTGCCACCTAGGTGCTCGCATGGTCATATCCTTGATCATTCACCAAGAATTGTTCCTTATCAGAAGTTTTAAGCTTTCATGTCTAATTGTTTGACTTGTAGTCAATCTGTCTAGTTCTTGCAGCCTTTTCTCCCACTATTGTCTCTTTGACCTCATCTAGCTCTTCTTTTTTTGAGTATGTCCATACTCTACCCATAAGATTACTTTTTTGGGGATCCCTGGGTGGCGCAGCGGTTTGGCGCCTGCCTTTGGCGCAGGGCGTGATCCTGGAGACCCGGGATCGAGTCCCACGTCGGGCTCCCGGTGCATGGAGCCTGCTTCTCCCTCTGCCTATGTCTCTGCCTTGTCTCTGCCTCTCTCTCTCTCTCTGTATGACTATCATAAATAAATAATTAAAAAAAGATTACTTTTTTGTGGTCTAATTTTCTTTCCCTGACCAGACTGGGAGGGCTCTTATGATAGACTATCTGAACCACAGTCTTTCTAGTACCCCTAATTTATGTGCACTTTTTGGGGGGAGGATTTATTTATTTATTTATTTATTTATTTATTTATTTAAGAGAGAAGGAGAGAGAACATGAGCACGTGCAAGCAGGGGGCAGGGGGAGAGGAGGAGCAGAAGGAGAGGGACAAGCCGACTCTGGTGCTGAGCATGGAGTACAATGGCTGGATTCCACTACCCTAAGATCATGACCTGAGCCAAAATCAAGAGTGGGACACTTAACCAACAGAGCCACCCAGGTGCCCCTGTGCACTTTTTTAAAAAAAGATGAATGCAAATAATAAACTCCAACCCTTGATCAATCCTATGATTCTAGCAATGGTTAAAAGGGGATACAGAAATAAGGGAGTGTTTTTGTTTTTATTTTTATGAATAAGTCTTGAGCATATTTGTAGCTTTCATATGGGAAGGATCTAATAGAGGAAGAGTTACAAGAGAATAGGGGGACATTTGAAGGAGGAAAAACCAGGAGAAAGGACATAGCAGCTATTTAATAAATCTTTATAGAAATTGTTGTCACCAAAGTCGGAGCCACCACTGCTGCCACACCCTCTCAATCTCCCATGCCAAGACCTTGGAGAAGAACTTCAAATGGTGCTGTACCTTCAAACAAAGAATTAAAGATGGAAGACTTACCCAAGAGCAGCCTCCTACCCAAATTCCATTGATAATAAAACCATACAAGGGTGGGGAAAAAAAGAACCATACATGGCTGAGAAGTGGTTTCCTATCCTGGTTAAAACGGAGTTCCTTGCACCTGATTATGTTAATGTAAGTGAACTCATCAAAATAATTAGAAAGCTCTTGCAGTTCAATACTAATCAAGCCTCCTTCCTGGTAGTGAATGGACACAGCATGGTGAGCGTATCCATGCCAATTTCTGGAGTGTATGAAAGTGAGAAGCATGAAAATAGTTTCCTGTGTATGGCATATGCATCTCAGGAGACATTTGGAATGAAATTATTAGTGTAAGATTAGAAAAATGGGTCTGTTCTATTTTGCTCCTTTGTCCTCCGTAGGTTAGGTTTTGAACTCTCATACCTATTTTTTTACTGTTGCTGCTAACTAATGGCTTTCTAGGACTTGGTCTTGAAAAACCACAGACCATTATAATTATGGTAAAAGAAATCTCAATAAGATAAGGAAAAATGTTTAGTCTCCTAGAAAGTCAGAAAAGCAGATACGTATTTGCAACATAAAACTCCTCATAAATATTAATTCTAATTAAGAGATACCCTGACTTCAGAGATTGTTGTTGTGGCCTGTGAAAATAACCTTTAACATCTAAAAAGTCTGTAATTCTGATTGGTTGTCTTACTTAATAATTTATTGCCCTGGTTTAATATTTAAACTGACACCCTATTTCCTAAGAGGTTTAAATGTACTTTGTAGTAGGTTGAATTTTGTCTCCCCAAAAGATATGTCCAAGCCTTAACTCCCTGTACTTGTGAATATGACCTGACTTGGAAAGGATCTTTGCATTTATAATTAAGAAAAGGATCTTAAGATGAGATCATCCCAGGTTAGGATGAACCCTAAATCCAATTACAGTTGTCCTTAGAAGTGACAGAAAAGGGGGTGCCTGGCTGGCTTAGTCAGTGGAGTGTGTGACTCTTGATCTCAGGGTTGTGGGCTCGAGCCCCATGTTGGGTGTAGAGATTACCTAAAAAATAAAATCTTTTTAAAATGAGGCAACAAACAAGAAGACACACAGTCACACAGGGGAGAATATCATGTGATGGAAACAGAGATTGGAGTGGTGTGTTTACAAGCCAAGATTTGCCTGCAGCCACCAGAACATGGGAAAGAGGCATGGAATGGATTCCCTCAGAGCCTTCAAAGGGTATCAACCCTGCTGACACC